GTCATGGACACGGGGGATTGATTGGGGATTATTGATATCACTGCCATATCACTGTTTTAGTCAAGTGTGATTTCATTTAGATTGACTTGTATTCGAGAAGATTTTTGAACAATGAACAGTAGTATGTAGTCTACGGGTGCTGTAGAATGGTAGCATTAGTAGGTAGTTTTGATGCATGAACTCAGGTCTACTGTCTATTTTCATGCTGTAAGCTTGACAGTACATACAAGGCCAATCACTGGCAAGAGAGTTTTTACAATTCTAGTTCATGTTTTTATGATACTGCCAATATTCAAGTCAAGTTCAGCTGGAGAGCAGCAGACTAAACCAAGAATTAGCCTTAGTCCTTGGAAATGGTTGAATCTTGATGTCTCAAACTGCACCTCCAATGCAAGATGCATGCTTTTTGTTTGGCCCCTTCAAATTGCCAGTCCAGTATGTGTGCCATGTTCTATAAAAATGTCTCATCCTGAGATTGATTGGGTCAGCAGTCCATACCACGTGAGGTGAGTTCAGCTGTCAGGTGGCAAAAAGATATCATGAAAATTATGATACAGTATACTGCTACAACAGTATGGCACAGCTGCGGCAAAGATTTGGGGAATACATGTATGCCATATAACTGCTCATACTGAAAACTGTAAGTATGGGGAATGGATGACCTGAGGGCAAGCAGCTTGGTCTCAGGATCAGTTCTCAGACATTTTATTATAGAACAATAGCATCTGAAAATGGATTCATTTCTAGCGGCATAGTTACTTTATTTCATCATGGTACCTCTCTCACCTTTTCTGTTAGTAGTAAGGTGTGACTCATGCTCTCTTTCTCACAGCCCATTAGCAACTATTACTAAGCATTGAACTCTGGCTTCTTAAAAAGAAAGAATTTATTGTCATAAAGTGTAATTACTCATCATGCATTTTTGAACAATGAAATTGTAATAAAATTTTTTAAAAAATTGCATTGCATTGCAAGTTAAGTAATATGTACTAACAAAGTAGACTGTCCGAATGAATCATATCAAATGTAATTTTTCAAGTACTGGACAATATTCTCATTACCTTGTGCAATTGCTGCCTCCATAACACTCCCATATTGCCCTCCTTTGAGATTGACATCTGCACCTTTCGCCAACAGATATTGTATGATAGCCAAACTTCCTTTGGATGCAGATGCAGCTGCCTGAAGTGCTGTTCCATGTATACCTCCCTGAGTATTAACATTTGCTCCTTGTCCAATCAAAAATTCAACAACACCTATATTCTGATAATAACAGGCCGCTTGCAATGGGGTTCCATATTTCCCTCCTTGCACATTAACATCTGCACCTTCTTGCACCAGTAATTTTACAATATCAAAGCTAACTATAGCTGCTGCTTGCAGTGCAGTCCCATATTCCCCTCCTTGTATTGCTACATTTGCACCCCTGGACAGTAAAAATTGGACAATATCCAAATATCCTTGTCTAGATGCCGCTTGAAGTGATGTTCCATATTGGCCACCTTCTATATTGACATTGGCACCATTGTCCACAAGAAATTTGACAATGGTAAACTTTTTATGGGTTGCTGCTGCTTGAAGTGCATTTCCATATTGCCCTCCTTGCAAGTTGACATCAGCCCCATTATCTGTGAGAAACTGGACAATATCCAGATTGCCTTCTTGTGACGCTACCTGAAGTGCACTTCCATATTCTCCATCTTGCATGTTCACATCTGCATTATTTTCAACTAGAAATTGAACTATATCTAATCTGCCTGCAGATGCTGCAGCTTGAAGTGCCGTCCCATATTCTCCACCACACATGTTGATATCTGCACCTTTTCCAACTAAAAATTTTACAGTGTCCAGTCTTTCATAATATGCTGCTGCTTGAAGTGCTGTCCCATGTTCTCCTGCTATCTCATTGATATATGCTCCTTTCTCAACTAGATATTTAACTACATCCAGCTTTCCAGTAGCCGCTATACGGAGTGGAGTGTTATGATCACCTGATACTAGGTTGACATCAGCACCCTGTTCAACAAGATATTGAACAATGTCTAATCTTTCATTGTATGCAGCTGCTTGGATTGCATTTCCATAAAACCCTCCCTTCTCATTTACATTGGCTCCATTTTCAAGTAATATTCTGATTACATCTAAATGACCCAAGTTGGAAGCATCATGTAATGCAGTAGGATACACCTTATGAAGATCTGGAAATGCTGATTCTTCCAATTTAGATAATTCGATGATTTTAAGTAGTGGCATTTTCTTATTAGCTCTGACAGACTTGATCCAATAGTCTCTGGTCATCTCTATGTCAATTTGATGCCATACTCTCCAATTTCCCTTGATCATCCATTGTGAGAGAACGGAGGGCCAAATTTCACAGCCATAGCTATCATTCTCATTGATTTCCATGAAAGCATTCCACATTGTTTGTTGCAATGACTTTAAATAAGGTTGGAGGATTGTACTGTATATAGACATTGATGCATTCCATGTTATTCGATCATGAAGATATTCCAGATCCAGTTTGAAAACACCATGAAGAGCCTGAACAACAATCCTTTGGATTGATTGATTTGATTGCAATGTACAAAGCCATGCCAGAATGCTCCCAAGACCATGATGAATTGTGTTTTCTGAGGTAAGCAACTCAAGCTCAGCCTCTTTCAATGACCTTTTGTTGAAAGTAGGATAAGGTGTGTTCAATTTGTTAAAGGTCTTGAAGTATGAGGAGTGCCTCCAGTCAACCGAGGCAACAAATGAAAATAACTTTCTCAATGCTTGAAAACACATCCACCTTGCAATGCTTAATGGATGAAGAATATACTGCATAGGTTTAAAAAGCAGTTGTATTCTATAAGGACAAGCCAGGTTGAACTGAGGGATAACAATGCTCAGTAAATACATTGAAAATGCAAGGGTAGTGATTGATACAACAATCCAACACAATGAATGATGTAACTCAGAAACATACAAAGCGAGGCCGATAAAGAAAAGAGCTAGTGATGCGTGAAGAATGAGTGGTAAAGTTGCAATAACTGCCGAAACTTTCCATTTCTGAAATCCTTCAAATCTAAACTGGCGAATAAGTGCCCGTTCTTTAGCATTTCCAGATAAAATGGAGCTATAAGCCTGAAGCCACTGTTTGGCTAATACAGAAAGAAGAGCAGTAGAAAGTGAAAGTGAAAGGCTGCCAAAAAATAAGCCATTTATCCAAACATCAGCCCCACTAGGGGACGCAGTGTTTAAATTGACAGCGGAGGGTGGAATGAGACTAATTGCCGTCTCATTTCCCACTGCTCGTAGTACTTTCACCTGCTCATCTAGCAATGTAGCAATAATATAATTGTAATTAGGCTGAAGAGAGTCTAGAGTTGAGACCACAAATGAAGTGACAACAGCAGAGAAGAGTGCTGCCTGTTCAACATGACTGAGTTCATTTCCGAAAAGCTAATGCAAAAAGTGAGAATGATACTTACAAACACTAAGAGAGAGTCAATAGTATCCTTGAAACTTCTTAACATTTCATCATCATAGCTTTCTGCTTCATCAAGATATACTTTCCAGACACGGGCATTATCCTTAATTTCATCACCCAATGGATCTGGAGCATATTTTTCTTCGTAGTCGTAGGAGCGAGTTCCTGCACCCAGATTAACAATTTCAGTCCACTCAATTGTAATGACTGAGCTTACCACAGTATGGAGATTGAGTAGATGGAAGTATACCCAACAGGCGTGAGTGTTGATCTTCCTTCTTCGTCTTCGATGGCTTCGAATGCTGCCTAGGCAAGTGAGTGGGTTGAGCACCATAATCGCCAGAATCTTGGCCTTCTCCATTATCGTGCATATCAACTGCAACAAATGCATTGTGAATGGATTCTTCTGATTGATTTGATGTAGTAGTCTGTTGCATGTTTGAATTTTCGACTTGTAGCGCGTGCAGGTTGACGCGAAAGTAATTTGAAGGCAACCTTGGTGGGGGTGGATGCGTGTCAGGGGCAGCCAAATGCTTGACCTTTTATACAGCTTTCAAATATATACACACATCATTATTAATCGTTAGTGTATAGTCTATCAACAGTCTGCTTATAGGAAGCTATATAAAGCTGACAGCCGCGAGGCCAGGTGGGCACGACATATGGAATAAACGTGGCTGCTGTAAAGTACCGCATACAGCAATACAGTATGGACAGCAGCAGGTCGCCCCTTCAACAGCTTCTTCCTGCATCTGACTCTTGTTATCGAGTATATTTGATTTAATGCCTGCCCAAAGCGCCTTTCAGCTACTTCGCTATCATCTATCCCCTCATGTACGGAAGCCATCACCTAACACCACCTCAAGCGCAATCTCCTCGTGAGTTCATTCTACAAGTGATAATCAATTGAAGTCGGCGATGCATTTAACCTTTCCTTAGATCGTCCTTGATTACCAAAAATGTGGAGTCAACGGATAATTGTGATAATCCAGAGATGCAGAAGGCACACTCGCTCGCAGAGAGGGAGGCTGAGTCTCAACTACCGAATCTTGTGAAAGGCGACGGAGAATTCGAAACTGAAAACGGCCTGCGATGCGACGCCAAGTAAGCTCTCGCACATATTAACCTAATCGCTTCAAGTTAAATATTATGCGCAGGTCCATCGAAGACAACGCCAGAGCCGCGTGTGGTTTGTTAATATCAGAGTGTATCGTGATTGGCAAAGGGCGCCCCTCCCCGGTCCTCCTCGTAGAGACAGATTCCGAGATGGAAGAGTCCAAGCTGAAGAGGGAAATATTGCGCAAGACTCGACATTTCCACTCTCGGAGGTACCTTCATGAAAGAATCACCTCAGTAAAAATGATTGTCGTGGTTCCGAGAGGTACTTTTCCACGAAGTACCAAAGAGGACTCTGATACCATACGAAAGGAGCTTGAGGCGAAATTCAAAGCTGAACTTGATCGATTGTACAGATTGAAATGTACAATGATTTAACATATAGTATGCATGATTTTCATTTATCTTTTATGGGGGTATAGCTCAGCTGGGAGAGCAGCAGACTGAAGTTGCGATAGAAAACATTTGTGTTCTGAAGGTCCCGCGTTCGATCCGCGGTACCCCCATAATCAACCCATAATCAATGGGTTCTTCATGTTTTTGCGTGGACTGGTGGCCCAGTCTTGCGAAGCAGTACCAGGCATCGGAAATGGCGGATACTCAGAAAACCTACCGACCAATACTTGACAACACTCCTCCACTCCTCTTTCCCACTAATGAACAGTGCTAAACTGACATCATGTTCCATCTGCAAGCAAGAGAAAAAAGAGGAAATAGATATTATTTTACTGCAGCATGACAATTATACAGATCGCGCTCCCCCGCATTGTACAACCTAACTCCCTTTGCCAGCACTCTTTATATTTCGAGGTGCACGCGAGCCAGATATCCAGCATAGATCTCCCAATGTACAACACTACGCTTTCTTCTTAAGCGCACGTGTGGTAGCGAATAGCACGCTATCAAAGAGTTGGGCAACAGTGAGGACTCCTCCGATGATGGCGCATGTCCTATCAGATGATATAGCAAGGAGATAGAAAGTCGAGATGAGATGAGGGGAGACCACAGCAGACAGCCGAGGAATGGAACACGGAAGCAGTTCAAAGGTAAGAATAAGAATAGTCACTGGTCAGCCGCAAATGTCAAACTGGTTCGACGAGTTACTTACGAGGTAATAAAGTGTGCAAATGATTGTCTAGTGTCGGTATGTACAACAAGAATTGGCGAGATCTCAAAATTAAAGAAAACACCTGCAGGAAAGATGAGTTGATTGTAAAAAAAAGCAATTCAAAGCAAACGCGTAAATAACGTAGGATACGTCGAAGTCGAAATGTATGCATTGTCGAGTATGGAGGGGAGGAAAGCGATTTCACTCACCAGGAACCCCATAGATCCCATGTTGCAAGTGCACACCTTGGGGAGTATCGCCTAATGCACCTTCAGAAATATCTCGTTCGAAGTGTGTCACGCTGTATTGGTGGGAGCGGAGCTGTATCCAGGAACCAAGGTCAGTTGAGAAAGAAGGGGAGAAGGAGCGGAGAAAAGGGACGTGCAGTTTGATCATCGAGAGTTCTGAAATGTGTTGACACGACCTTTAAGAAATATTGGAACATATATTTGGCTTTGTTGGTCTATTTAGGAGCGCGGTTAGTCAACGAGGAAGAGAATATGCTGAACGGGCGTACTCACTGTACGCTCAAAGTTATCCAAAGGCTGTGTGAGTCCAAGACGCTTCCTCATTGCGTTGGTGACCTTGGCTTTGCGATAATTGTAATCATCGTCGCCTGTGACGCGCGCGGTATTTTAGTACGTTTTGCCAATCGCCAGCCCGGAGAACTCACTCTCAAATGACAACTCGTGGATTGTATGGGAGTAGTCATGTCTATTTCCGTCTTCTCGGACGTAAGGCACTAACTCGTAAATGTCGCGCTGGCTGCTTTGGAACGACTTGCCCGGGGATAGATGGACGTTGCCAGTAACCTTGTTGACACGAATGCGGCCGACGATATGACAACCTTCATTGGCTTGTTCTTTCAACTTGTCCAGCCATCCTTCGTTCTTACACTAAAGACAAATGCGCAATAGCAGACGATCAAGCTCCGGACGGTTGAGAGCGAACAGAACTACGCACTTGCTCGATGACGTCGGGATTCGAGAAACTCCAGCCCTTCTGAACATACGCGGTCCTGACCTCCTCACAGGTATTACAACATCCACTTTCTGGTTCCTTCCCACCATAGCATGAACCACAATAATCCGCTGGCTTCGGTTCATTGTGTTTGTCAATATCGTTCTGTAACCCTGTGACAGTTGTGCCACGAATCTGCTTCCCGTAAGAGTCGAGACGCGTTTTGCGCATACTGTGAGAGACGTCTGTCTGTGTTTCGCCACTAATGTCCATTACATCCACGTTGAGGACTAGGCAAAATTATAGACGAACGGTAAACGGTTAAAGAATGTGGATAAATGGGCACACGACCTACGGTAACAAGGGACCCTTGGGAAGGTGATATTCATTCTCAAGCTCAACTTCTCTCCCCTGCTCTTGTCTACGATTAAAGATGTGTCGGTGTATACCCTTCGATAGTCCATGAATTCCATGAGAGTAAATGATAGTATAATTGCAGCGGATAAAAGGGTTACTGTTGGTTGCAGATTAGCTAAAACGAACCCCCATAAACAATGTAAAACGTACGGAAAGCGCCAGTACGGGTTTTGACCTTGACATCGTCGGTGGTCTGGAAGAGACGTTAGATATTTGCTCCATTGGAATGCGCAAGTGGTGCACCTTTCCGAAGGCGTCAACGCCCTTCAAGTTGGCCAGAAAACCCTTGGCCATTGTACAAATGAATGAAGAATAGTGAAGAAGAAACTATAGGGCCCGGGTTAAAGCTGAAATTTGAGCGGCATATGGTGCCCTTGGGCAAAGCAGTGACGACGTGGCGTTACAGGCGGGCGCTTAGTATGCCAAATGCGGATATGTGCCGGTAAATTTCTCATATTCAGACATCCCGCATAGCAAGGGACTGTCAGTGTTAAACGTTCCTCAGACGGCTGTGGTACCATATCTGATCATATACTAACCACCTTGTTGACCGTTTCTCCGTACAGCGTTCGACGTCGCCAACTTTGAGAGAACGAGGTCCTGTTTTACTCGGATACCGGTCGTACTTCAAGTATAGTAGTTCTTGAAAGCTGTTTTGATACCGTATCCGATAACTTGAAGGGGTTAAGCAGTGAATATGTAAAAGTGTGTGTTTCTCCCTGACAGATAAAAACACTCTGGTCGACGCTAGCCAAACATTCTCATATTGATACAGAGTTCCCTGAGCCCTACCTACAGTCATACTCCTTCAGAACACATTCTGGAGTAAATACAAATAATATAGAAACATTAATTATGAGGATAGAGAGGATAAGTTGCCATATTTCCTATAGGGATTACCATTCACGAATCGACTCTCCGTCTCCGAGGTAACAGGAAGCCCATCGAGGAAGGAAACCACCGTACTATGAGAGCTCCAAAGTCCCTGCACCGATACCGTTTCCAAAACACAATCTGACCGAAGTAACATCCCCTTCAGAGCGACAGTGGAACTTCTCGCCTCTCCCGGAAGTCGATTTCTCGCTCGCCATGATAGTCGAATTTTCATATGCTTGAGACTGGGTAAAAAAACATTGTTCCACATACCGTCGGGAAAATCTCGTCCTGATATTGGGACACTCAAGGTCAAGAGTTGAGTGTGATAAAAACTGGTTTTGTACGATGTCGAAGGTAGACCACCATCCTCGTAGTATTCATGCAATTCTAAACGCTGTAAGTGTGGAGATTTTTCAAGCAACGTCGAAATTGAGCCATTGATACGTAAGTGATCGACAACTAAAACAACCAAATGGCTCAAATCTATTGCATCTCCAGTCGACAGATGGGATATACGGAGAGTATGAAGACGAGGGCAGACAAGGAAAATTTGAGAAAAAGGGCTTTGAGTGGGAAGGTCGAGAGAGTGGCGGAGCTGGAGATGCAGCTCCTCAAGCAAGGGAAACTCAGAAGACCGAGTATCCTGGTGCCAGGTTCTCCACAATCTATCACGGAACTGATCCACATCCTGGTCTCTGTCAAGAAAAAGCTCCAGTTCTAGCCTTTTCCATCTCCGTGCTTGGTATATAATTACATCTAGAACATCGAGGTCGGCACGATGAAGGAAAGGACGATTGGGTACATAGATAATATCTATAAAAAGATACAGCGGAACATGGGTTCCCGAGCGCAGAATGCACTCCTTTTCGAAGTCCCTGGCCCTAGGCATAGTACAGTTATCCGCAAAATTTGCGAAAGTTAACCGCATAGCAGACCAGAGGGTAGGTAATGCAAGAGCTAGGGTGCGCCACCAAGAGCAAACCCAAGTAAGCTTCAATACCGGGTTGGTGGTATTGGTATATATCCGACGGTTTCCCATGTGAATCGGTTCGTCAGCAACGAACAAGAAAATCTCGCTCAAAATTTCCAAGGGAAGTGTTCGAATAGGGGAGAATAGTAGAGATTGCAGACAGGCAGTGAGTTTAGTGAGTTGGGGGTTATTTGGCGCATTACAATCTCGAACTTCATCATGGGTGCGCTCAAGAAGAGCCTGCAACTGGGAGCGATCGGCAGATAAAGTTGGGATGTCATTGATTCTGCATCGGGCAAGAACTCTCCGGTATGTTTTGTTGTATGAAGTCCGCCTATTAGGTCGAGCTGAATCAACTGTCATAGACTGAGAAACAAAGTTAGGTCAGGCGCGTCCGACGTGAAGGTAATATCGAGTTTCTTACTTTGGGTTCTGTACCTGTAACCACATCGGTTGCAGGCAAATGACAAACCAAAGACTTACAGACATAGGATAACGATTTCGAGAAACTAATCATACCCCAGATTCAAGAATTTGTGGCACTGGTAGGACGGCCAATGATGGTAGGAGGAAGGAAATGTGAGGGAAAGAGGCGCTCGTTGCACGGCTTTCATTTAATAAAGCGGCCCACGGAATGGCACAGGAAGACTTTTCAAGTATCTGCGCGTCATAAACCGATGGAGTGTTCGTTACACTGTATTACAGATTATTTAATTTCCGAAGCGCGTCCTATCCTCAAGCGCAATGTGAGTACACCTTCCAACTGAGACCCGTGGATAAGTAAAGGTTTCGAAACAGTAGCAGAAAGACAACGATTACAAACAAATTTAATGAACGTTACAAATGAGAAAACCGGTAAAATAGTTAACCTATGTAAGTAGATAATGTTATTAGTACTGCATGGTACCTTATGTACGAGAAGAAGGATAGATAGGTATATACATGTCGAGAACATGAATCAAACATAACACAGCTTTTTGGTTTGGACTTCCATAATTTGACAACAGTTGAAAATAGTCTTGGAGACAAAATTATAACATGAGAGCACATCACCGAATCAGTTTTCCATAGTCCAGTACGCTCCCTTCATTCGCCGAGTGAGGGAGTCGGTCAGGAAAGACATTCCAAAATCGCAGGGTTTGATCCCCGCTTCCGGTGACGATAGTGTCTCCTTT